TCAAATTATCATAATAATAGTCCTCTCTCATTAAGCAGGTCACTGATGTTGATACAGAACACTGAATGCACTGAATGCAGTATAGCAAAGCTACTCATTTCTTGCTTTCACATAGCCTATGTGAAAGGAAGAACTTTACACTGCATCGTTCTAAGTGACCTACTCAATGAGAGAGGACTATTATATGATAACTTGAGGTGTCTTGTTTGTATAATAGCTTGACCTGTGTACATGAACAATGCCTCTTCACCAAGTCAAGCAAACTCTATACCCACTCCCTATTACAAATAGCTTTTATAGATGTACATAGTTCTAATCTTATAAAATTAAAATTAAACTAATAATGTCTCAATTATTTAATCCATCACTTTAAATTGAATCACTTAACATAAATTTCATATCATTCAAAAGGAACATCTTTACCACTTGTCACTTGATCATAGCATCAACTCAATTATCACTTCCTGATATCTGATTACTTTCTTTTGTGAATTTATAAAAATGATTTTTTTTTGCGCAGAAATAGCTTTTTATGGATTTGTAATTTTAGCACTACACCCTTAATGGACTTTGCAGAGCTTTAATTCTGTGTATGGCTACTTGATAATCAGCAAAAACTGCAAAAGTTTTGCTCATCAAAAAAAGCATTATACAGTTCTCCTTTCTCATTGAGCAGTTAATTCACACTGATAAAGAATAATGCAGTGTAAAGCTACTCATTTACTGCTTTTACAAAAGTAATTGACACTTTTTATTATAACAAAACAAAAATCACTTAAGCCTAAAAAAGTTAACAAAAAATATGTCCGGGCAGTAAAACATGGCCTAAAAATCAAACCAAAATTTTAAACAACTACATGTGTTGTTTCACCAATCTTCACTTGACATAAATTTCATATTCTCTAATGGCAACATCTTCATTACCTGTATCTTCATCACAGCATAACCTCATCTCAATATTATCAGCAGTAGAATAACCAAAAGATCTATAGAACCAAGGAATAAGAGTACGCTGACAACAATTGGTTTCAGTACTACCACAACCTTTACCATCCCATAATGGATCAGAAGAATATAATGTAGCATATGAATTTGTATTGTGACAACCAGCTTCACAATAATAGTGAGAACCAACAAACGATGGGACAGATTTAGGATGGCTACTACCACAAGGACAGTAATTGATAGCTGTGCCTGTATATCCACTAAGCAATGACCAGATATGTTTCCTTGGGTAACCATGTGTTAGACTAATACCATCAATGTATGCTGAGTTTATAACCTTGCTAGTATGATAGGCAGCTGCTCCATCTGTACTATGATACTGATATCCAATGACTTTACCACATACTTGTGAATACTTTATATCTCTTGATGGAAATGTTATACCAACACAGCTACCACTATTAGTCACTGGTCTACCACAAGCACCAACTC